AGAGGGTGTCCCAAATAAAAAATCAATTTTTCTGTTGATAACTCTTAAATTATTAATTTAAAAAAAATTATACTTAAACCATTAAATTCTACGTAAAAAGGTGCTTTGGAAATGTTTTCATGGAAATACAAAATTTTCTATAGCAAAAAAGTTACAGCGATTTGTTAAAAATGCACATTTTTGAAAAACACCCCGTAACTCCGAAACGGTAACAGATATTGATGTGCAGTTTTCACCATCATGTTTTTGATGAAAATTGAGCTCCAGACACCGATATTAGTTTTTGTCTATCTCCTATAGAAAAGGGTGTTTCCATTTAAAAGCGTCGAATTTGACCCACCCTGTACACTCCTCTAATTCTATCGCTACCTCCTCTATTCCAATCCAGGTGATATAGATTACTTAATATTTTTTTCTAGTAACATCATTACATCTTAAAACAATTTTAATTTCCTATGGAGGCTTTTTTTATTGTAATTATACCTTTTAATATAATACATTTTTATGAATGTTTTTCTCAACCTTTTCGAAAACTGTTTCTCAGAATATGTTCACATAAAAAGTTTAGCCAAAATATGTATCTAACTTTTTACACACAGACGCAAATCATTTATGACAACACACAAAGATTGTTAACTCTCCTATAGCCTTTTTAATATTAAAGGGCACATAAAAATAAAAAAAAACTTTATTGATAAAATCACAATTAGGTCATTCAATTCACAAAATTTAATTACACCCATATACATTGGAGGCGAATAGTGATGAGGAAATGCTAAACCAGGGCCAAGACTCACATGGTCTTAATCTTGCAATAAGTATTCTTGGTCTTGCAGAGTCCAGTCTTGACTCTTGCAAGTACAAAGTTAAAACAATAATTTTGAACAAATAAGTAGAATGTAGAAAGAGTGGGAGAGGGGTCGATCACCCGAACCTTACAGATCTATTGTGTCCCCCTTTCTTCAGTTATAATTCATCATACAGTCCCAGGGCTTTGAGAAAAGCCAGTATCTGGGACGTTTTTACAGGGGGTAGTTCTCCATCTCCAATATCAGTCGTACTAAAGTTTATGGGACGACGGTTGTCGTCTCGCCACACTCAGTGTTGTGATGAGGTATTCTGGTGTTTCCCCATTTTCCCCACAGAATCTGCAATCGCCGTTTTTTCTTAGCTTCGATCTACTGAGGTGTTCATTGAGGAGACAGTGTCCTGTTAAAACTCCGTGACAATCCGAAGATTGTTTTTACTTAAATCAAGAAATATGTTGTAATTTTTCTTTTTCATTTTCTTATTAACAAATAAGTAATTTCTGATACCATGTAAGCGTGAAAAAATGCAAGGCCGCAAGAGTTTTGCATGCTTGGTCTTGATCTTTCGAATATGGTTAGTATTGGTATTACAGAGCAAATGCTAGTTTTGGTCTTGGTCTTGCTTTTTGTGCAAAACCAAGACAGCAAGGCCATAACCAAATCCACCACAATACATCTAAACACTTTACTTTTGCACTCGACGTACGTTTCGCTAACGATGTTAGCATCATCAGCAGATGATCTGAAAACTGACACAGAATCTGCTAATGATGCTAACATGGTTAGCGAAACGCGCGTCCAGTGCAAAAGTAAAGCGTTTTGGTGTATTAATTGTGGTGAATTAGTGTTTTATTTTGCTGTTGATCATTTAACACCAAAGGTTCCAGTCCTCGATTGTAATAGACACGAAATAGTTCGTAAAAAATGGTATATATTTTTAATGTCGATTTACCAAAAATCGTTTTTTTAGGATCCCAATAACAAAATCTTTTAATAACTATTGTTAGTGAAATTATAGTTCGTATAATATGTTAGTATTGGTCGCAATGGAGGGAGGGACTTAGTGAATACGAACTATTGGTACAAAAACACCATATTCCTAAAATATAAAAAATAAGAGCTTTATTTTAGTTGAATTATTTCCATGAAAGCTACCTACATAATCTGAAATCAGTCCAACTTAAAATAGAAACAATAGTATATAGAACTAAGTTAAAAACACATTAAAAACTTGTTTTAAAATCTACCAAAAAAAACAAAACCATCAAGTTCAACGAATCATATCTCCAATTAGCACATCTTTAGCAAAAGTCATAAAAATGATTTGCTTTTTCACAGTCCTTACCTAGCAACAAACAATAAAATCGTTGATTGTTCATACATATGCTGCTTCGTTTTTTATGGCTATGCTCCTACAATCGAGAATAATAATTTTTTAATGATAGCAATCGAATAGCACGGTATGGCCGGGCGCTATTTTTATTTTTCCAGGAAATGTTTTGATCGTTTCTAAATTTATTTCACCTTCAACGACGCTGTAATTTTGTTCAATTGACACTCAACACATTGCAGTAGGCCATATTTTTTTTTAAATTCAAAGATTTCTTTATAAAAACGAGATTTATTTATTGCGTCATTACCAATATTTTCGTGCACATGAAAATGTTGACCTTTTGAACCTTATTTAAGTTCATTATGCTATTAAATATTGATTATGATTTGTTAACGTCATTGATTTTATTTATTTTTTGGATATATTCAATTAGTTAAACTTATGAAGCATAAAAAGAAAAATAAATCAAATAACAGCATTTTCTTAATTTTTTCCATAGCAAGTGTTAAAATTGCCTTATATCTATCAAAAATAATAGATAAAGTAGTACTTTAACTGCAAGGTTTTTTTGTATTCCTTTTCGTAAGTTATTCGGGATTTAAATGGAAGCCTCAGCCTGAATATCTGTAGGTAATTTACTTATTTCGTTTTGAGCAATTTCTGGCATCAATTCATACAGCAATCGACACGAAAGAGAATTAAAAAATACTAACTCAAAACTGACAACTAATGAGACAGCTTTATTTATTTGTCAAATTACATAGAAACCAACGCCAACCCAGCACAATATTCTTTCTACTCGTAATAAATTCCTTGAAATAATAATTTCTAAATATTTTTTAAAACGTAACTCGCCATGGAAAAAAATATTGTTTTATACACGACGATAAAATTGCATTATCGTCTCCCGAAATTAATTCAATTATTAATCTTTTCGGTGAACGATAAAATACCATTTTATAGTCTTGTATTTCTTTTAAGTAATTTTCAAAGGAGTTTTAAATTTAAATACTACTTAAAATTTAAAATACAGGGTGAGTCCTAAATAAGTGCACATATTTCCATGGGTAGTAGATTTCGATAAAAGAAACGTATTTTCTCTTTTCCGTTATTAAAATAAGTCCAAAATGGCGGAGTTATTTTACTTTGAAAATTTAAAAAATTATCTTCAAATTTTGAGACCTCCTGCATTTCTTCTGACTTTTTATTGATATTATCAAGGTATGTTTCTTTTTAAATTTCCAAAAAAAAATTCGAAAAATAAAATAATTTCAAATTTTTATTCGCGAAAAAAACCCTAAAAATATGTGCACTTATTGAAAACTCACTGACAAAGTTAATAAAAATGATGAGCAAATCAATTATATGATGAAAAAAAGAATGGTATTAAAATAGCAAAATTTTGGTGTATTGTGGTGATTTTAGTGTTTTATTTTGCTATTTTTTTTTCATAATATAATTGATTTTCTATCATTTTTATTAACTTTATTGCACTATTTACATTTTTTCCTAAGGCTTTTATATTTATATTAGGTATTTTATATTTTGCAATTTTTTTTTCAAAACCTGTGTTCAAAACGCCATTACTTGTAAAAAAATAAAAAATAAAATTGAAATTTCACATTCCCATTGCTACTTTTCCTCCTCTACAAGTTGATCTGGATGTTTACTTCATTTTTTAAAAGCTTATAGCGGTGTTTGTAGCCCGCCAAGTACGATGATACAGCACACTTGACCAAACGATTTTTTAAGCAATTTTTAGCTAAGTTATTTGACTTTTTAGTATCTCTTTCTAAATTGAAAATGAAATTCCCATCTGTCTATTAAACGAGGGAAATGAAAATGTTGAAATATGGGGTGAAAGTTTGAAACACTCTGAGAAATATGTTAACAAGTCAATAAATTTAAATATAATGTTATCGTCTAGATGCATCTTTTCTGGATAGTTTTTTGGTTCATCTCAATAGTTTAAAAAAGTTAAATACATTTTTTGGCGGTATTCGCTTTTGAAGAAGACACTAACATTTTTTCGTAATTTTTATATTAAAACCATCAGGGTGCAAAAAAATCATGATTTTTTTATAAAAATAAAAAAAATCGATTTTTTTAAATTTTAATCAGATTTTTTTGATTTTAATGAATTTTCTATTTAAATCGGATTTCCAACTAATTGACGGCTTATTTTCAGTTAAAGTCCTATCCTAAACGGCTAAATCTTCGTAATACTGCCTGATATCAATAATATTACGATTTCTATGGCGCCTTTCGTTCTTCCAAATCGGTCACTGATATATTTTATTCTGTACACTTTGCCGATGCCGCTATTTCAAACAAAATCCCTTAGATCAAAGGGATTTTGTTTGGGAATAGTCATAACTGTCTTAAGTCGAGAATAGTGCAAAACAAAATGTCGGTAGAAATTATGCGGTAAAAATTTGGAAAGAACTAGAAGATAAATGCTGAGAAGACAGAAGTTAGCTTGAACATCAAATTTGGCCAACTAGAACAAACTATATTAAACTATAATTTAATTTTAATATTAAGATTTTTCTTTTTTGCGTGCTTGTCGGTGTATTTCATATTCTTCTTTTTGTACTTTTTATTTATTTTTTGTTTACTTTAATTTTACATTAAAACACCATAAAATGGATTCATAATGTCTACACAGTGACATATTATAGTTCTTATCTGGTTTATTTTAATACAACAAAGCCATCTTATAAATATGTCTGTGAATTTAAATATTTTATAAGCCATAATACGTGTTGTATAGATAAAATTGTTATACTAATTATAAGTGTTTTTAGAGTGTACAGAAAAATGACAAATTTACTAATGTTCTTTCTGTTTTCTTTCAGGTTGGGCGTTAAAAGCACCCAACTATTCCTCTGCCAGGAGGCCTAAAAGAATCAAAAATTTCAACGACCAGAAAAGGCGAATTTAATGTAAGTACAATCAAAAATTGTAGATCTTGAATGTATCTTGAAAACCAATCAAAATACCACAAGGTATTTATCAGATAAGTTTTTAAATATAAGAGACGTATAAAACAATGTTTTTGCACCATAAAATGGATTCATAAGGTCTACACAGTGACATATTGTCTAGTTAGTAAGCCATCGTATAAATATGTCTGTAAATTTAAATATTTTATAAACCATACGTGTTCTATAGATAAAATTGTTATAGGAATCAACATCAGTGTTTTTTAAACTTTAAAAAATCTCCATATCTATACACAAGTATTTTATACAAGTACAAGTATTAATAAGCTATAGGTAGGTACTCAAAACACTGAAACAAAAAAACCAGTTTCCGCTCTAGGTATTGTAATCATTGAAGTCATTTAAATTTTAAGTGGTTTAGCTTTGATATTAAAAAACAAATTTCTAAAAGGCTTATCAATTCATATAAGTTCACATGGATATTATTTATATAACTGATATTTAAAATAACAAATAGGTTGATTAAAATGATAACAAAAATGAATTAAAAAATAATTAAAACTTTAGCACAAATAAGTTTTAAAAGTATTTTTAATCATGAAAATAGGGATAAAATAGAATAAATTTGAAAATATACAGCAACATTATGGTATGAAGCTGATGAAAATTTTAAAAATATTGGATTCAAACTCGTTTAAACAAATCATTTTTATTCTGACCAAGGCTATAATATCGGGTTATGAAAAAAAAATACAAAGAGAATGACTAGGTGAAACTCTATTTTTACATCATTTAATTATTATTCAAAACCCAAACATATGTGTAGTCTATAACAAAATTACTGTTTACGAAACGGTTTCAAGGATGAACCAATTGCACCTGCGCAGTGTGATGCACGAACATCGTTTGAAACCGTGACCTTAAAAATCTGGTCGAATATTATGTTAGCAACGAAAAAAAAGATGGTAAAATACACACTACACTTTCACATTATTTTATAATAGAAAATAGAATAGATTTTGATACGCAAACGGTGCAAAGTTCAAATTCGACGGAAATATTTTAATAAATCTATTTTTTCTTCTATCTATTTTTTGACGAATCTCGTGATGGCGGTAGTTAAAATGAAAAGTTTTTGAGAAAAGCATGTGAATGTTTTTTTGGATATCACATGTTTTTTTAGGAATAGAGGTTTTATTAATAAATTATTTTATTTTTAGAAAAAGATTTATTTTTGTTTTTGCTCATTACCTGCAGTTTTAATTCAAGAATATTAAATAACAAAATATATAAGTATTCTTTTTTGATTAAAAATATCTAAATTGAAAAGTGTTTCAAAATTTAATCGCATACTAATTTTGTTACGTAGGCGTAGGCCAGTACGAAGTTCAAATCACGAGAAATTCTTCAGCAAATCTATTATTTGTTCTATTTTCACGCGAATCGCGTGATGCCACATTTAAAATAAAAAGTGTCTGGCAGAATCATGTGAATGTTTTTTATACATCATATTGTTTGTGGAAATACTCTTTTTACTAATAAAATTATTTAAAAGAGGTATTTTAGAACCACTTTTTTAGCTTTCCAATAAATAAAAAACTTGAATACCTACTATTTTAGAAAAGTATCTTTATTTTGAAAGGTGAACTTTCTTTTCGCGCGTTGGGAGTAAAAAATTCAAAGCCGTGACACACAAGCTAGCGAGACGAAAAGTAATTACGGCAGTGTTGTACGTTACCCCTTACAGCCACGCTTACGAGGGGTAGATCTTCCTCTTTGTAAAACAATTTAACTCGTTCTGGGTAACGATCTGATTGCCATACGCGGCTAAATTACTGTAAATCACTATAGATAGTTTCAAATTCGACGGAAATATTTTAATAAATCTATTTTTTCTTCTATCTATTTTTGACGAATCTCGTGATGGGCGTATGTTAGTTAAATGAAAAGTTTTTGAAAATCATGTGAATGTTTTTTTGGATATCACATGTTTTTAGGAATAGAGGTTTATTAATAAATTATTTTATTTTTAGAAAAAGATTTATTTTTGTTTTTGCTCATTACCTGCAGTTTTTAATTCAAGAATATTAAATAACAAAATATATAAGTATTCTTTTGATTAAAAATAACTAAATTGAAAAGTGTTTCAAAATTTAATCGCATACTAATTTTTGTTACGTAGGCGTAGGCCAGTACGAAGTTCAAATCACGAGAAATTCTTCAGCAAATCTATTATTTGATTTCTATTTTTCACGCGAATCGCGTGATGCCACATTTAAAATAAAAAAGTGTCTGGCAGAATCATGTGAATGTTTTTATACATCATATTGTTTTGTGGAAATACTCTTTTACTAATAAAATTATTTAAAAGAGGTACTTTTTAGAACCATTTTTTAGCTTTCCAATAAATAAAAAACTTGATACCTACTATTTTAGAAAAGTATCTTTATTTTTGAAGTGAACTTTCTTTTCGCGCGTTGGGAGTAAAAATTCAAAGCCGTGACACACAAGCTAGCGAGACGAAAAGTAATTACGGCAGTGTTGCTACGTTGCCACAGCTACTCCTTTCGGGGTAGATCTTCCTCTTTGTAAAACAATTTAACTCGTTCTGGGTAACGATCTGTGCCATACGCGGCTAAATTACTGTAAATCACTATAGATAGTTCAAATTCGACGGAAATATTTTAATAAATCTATTTTTTCTTCTATCTATTTTTTGACGAATCTCGTGATGGGCGTTAGTTAAAATGAAAAGTTTTTGAGAAAATCATGTGAATGTTTTTTTGGATATCACATGTTTTTTTAGGAATAGAGGTTTTATTAATAAATTATTTTATTTTTAGAAAAAGATTTATTTTTGTTTTTGCTCATTACCTGCAGTTTTAATTCAAGAATATTAAATAACAAAATATATAAATATTCTTTTTTGATTAAAAATAACTAAATTGAAAAGTGTTTCAAAATTTAATCGCATACTAATTTTGTTACGTAGGCGTAGGCCAGTACAAAGTTCAAATCACGAGAAATTCTTCAGCAAATCTATTATTTGTTCTATTTTCACGCGAATCGCGTGATGCCACATTTAAAATAAAAAGTGTCTGGCAGAATCATGTGAATGTTTTTTATACATCATATTGTTTGTGGAAATACTCTTTTTACTAATAAAATTATTTAAAAGAGGTATTTTTAGAACCATTTTTTTAGCTTTCCAATAAATAAAAACTTGATACCTACTATTTTAGAAAAGTATCTTTATTTTTGAAGTGAAATTTCTTTTCGCGCGTTGGGAGTAAAAATTCAAGGCCGTGACACACAAGCTAGCGAGACGAAAAGTAATTACGGCAGTGTTGCTACGTTGCCTCAGCTACTCCATTCGGGGTAGATCTTCCTCTTTGTAAAACAATTTAACTCGTTCTGGGTAACGATCTGTGCCATACGCGGCTAAATTACTGTAAATCACTATGAATAATGAATAAACAAAAATGGACCACAGATCACACGAATTGTTGGTCAGTAGTATTATTTTGGTTTAATGGCCACAGCTGCCATAGCTATCCGGCCGTATGGTAGAAATCTACGGTTGAGGGCTTAGGTATGTGATGACAGAAGAGTTTTAAGTTTATAAAAAATATTAATAAACAAATATATTATATATGCTTTATATCCTTCAGTTTAATACCTGTTAGTAAGAAGTTTGACCAAACCAAACCAAACACTGTTTTTTTTTCTAATTACTTTGCAACTAGTTTGTGTTAGTGATTCTTGAAATGTATTCTAGAATACTGAGTATCAAAATAGATGCTTTTTTTAAATAAAAATAACTGAATTTATAGCGACAAACATCTTAGTTTTAAACTTTAATATTTGGTTTTAATGAAAATATCCCCGGAATACACTACTAAACATGAAGAACAACACACTATATTTTCGAATTATTTTGTATTGTTGAATACATTATTACAAGAAAACAATACATAGTTATGATTGAACGATACTATTTTAATAAATAGGTTTTTGGTTTATTTCCTGTGAAATTTTTCATGATGCAATATTTAAAATAAAATGTTTCTGGAAGAATCATGTGAATGTTTTTGAAATACCACTTTTTTAAATTTTTGTAATTTTAGAAACTAGAAACCTACTTATCTTCTTTACTTTACACACAAAAAATTGTATACCTACCTATTTATTTAAAAAATTATATTTGATTATTTTTATTTTTTTGCAACTAGTTTCTCCTAATTGAATTAATACTATGTGTTTAACAAATAATTTATCTATTTAGTAGTAATGCCCCTAGAATACACTACCTATTAGTAGTGGGAACTATCGAATGAATACTATCGAAACATTCGATAGTTGCAAATCATTCGAATAATTCGATAGTTAGTAAGAAAACATTCGTTGAAAACTATTCGAATAAAAATTATCGAATAGATCCGTCATCTGCCTTGAAATATTGTATTCTAGTAATTCGGCAGCAAAAACCATTCATTTATAAAATTCATTCATTTATAAAATTCATTCATTTATAAAATTCATTCATTTATAAAATTCATTCATTTATAAAATTCATTCATTTATAAAATTCATTCATTTATAAAATTCATTCATTTATAAAATGCATTCATTTATAAAATTCATTCATTTATAAAATTCATTCATTTATAAAATTCATTCATTTATGAAATTCATTTATTCGTCAGGATCCATTATAATAAAATATTAACTGAATTTTAGTTGTCGCCCGGCGACGTAGGTTTTTTTCCGAGAAAGCGGTCGGTGGCAATGCTATGAAAGAAGCCGGCATCTTTGATTTTTTGCGGAGTCATATATAGATAAGGACACATTATTTTTTTTGTTGAGGTGCTAGTATTTACACAGAAAATACATTATGAAGGGCGCTGTTGCCATATTTTTGTATTAGTTGATATTAGCAAAGAATATTATTGTTTGGCTTTAGTTAGTTAGGGATAGTATGTCTATATATTCTGTATTTT